CCACCATATACATTATTCAGGTCTTTGTTCTTGCTTTCTCCAGAGCTTCCCGTTTAAAGACTCCCCGCGATCAAGTGGTCCTCAAAATGACTTCGTGCTTTTTGGAACCCTCTACGCCTTGACGAAGATGATACCACTTTCATCCCTCAATATGGCGCGATAAGGAAGTTATAGCGATTTCCACAAGGCTCGCTAGGCTCGCTGACACGGTAGGTGGACGAGGCGTCCGGTCCCGAGCTGCTTCCGTCCCTTTAAAGTATCCTATTTCGAAAGTCGGGACGCAATTGCGGCTGCCGCATCGATTTCTGGCAGCCACGTCCGGCACACTCGTCCAGGCCCCGCCCCCACTGCTAAAGGGAGGTCTGTGTTCAGGGTGTTCGCGAGGTTTTTTTTTTTTTCCACTGGGGGTTACAAATGGGCCACTGCTTCGTTACTGGGCACCAATTACCCGAACACTTGATCGCGGGAATTGTCTTTGAACATAAGACTGCGTTCAGACTTTGCGCCGACGCGCAGTAACGCGCTGCGACGCGCAGCGATACTCTGCACTTGCAACAGCGCTATAAAGCTATAGGCGCGAACGCAGCCACAGAAATCAGTGGTCGCTAATCGCTATGTGTTTCGAGAGAGTACGGAAGAATGGGATGGTAGATGTTGCCTTGTTACGGACAATGGTATCGATCGGCATTGGCCATCTACAGCTGCGTTCACGCCTCTTGGAACGCTGTTGCAATTGCAGCGCACCAACGGGCGTCATCGCGAAGTCCGAATGCTGCCTAAGCGGCAACAATGAAGTCTGATTCCAGCTGAATTTCGGCTTTCTGCCTTATCGAACGCCGATCAACACAGTCATTGGTGCTCCAATAGACGTTCCGAAGATTCTTGAACCGACTGATGAAGAAGTGGATCGCCTCCATCGTCAGTACTGCGACGCCTTAATAGATCTCTTCGAACAACACAAAAGCCGATTCGGTGTCCCAAGAAGCCGACTCGTTTTTGTTTAAATTGGGTTGTTACCTAAAATTTATATTCCATCATTCTTTCAGTTGTTTTTACCGTTGTTTATCAGTTTCAACCATTGTCAACAGTTCTTGTCAGAGTTTACCTCAAAGGATCTTTCAGTATTGCTTTAAATTGATTAGAGAACCTTTTTTACAAATCAGGTAATGCAAGGTGCCGAGAAATCGCTTGCAGAACGTTTTTTTGTCAATATGAAATAGAGCGTCCTAGGTGCTTTTGCAGATGTTGTATGTATGTAACATTTCACTACTTTTCATCCGAATCGTCAACGCAAAATTGCAGAGCTCCTTAGAATAGGCGAAACCCATCGATGCACGATGCACTTTGAACAGGGGAATGTTCTAAGCAGGACCGGAAGTACGCAAAAAATGTCTCGAAAAGCAGGCGCGGCCAGGGGGCTGGACTTGTTTAGTGTCTAGGGTCATATGGTGACTTGAATGTCCAGTGTGGACAGTATTACGATATGGATTTAAAGTGTAGAAAATTTGGATCGAAAAGTAGTGAATCTGAAAATGGTGCATATCTATGCCTTATATATGTGAATGCTAGAAGTGCTTAATTCTTTCTGACACGTGATTTTCGTGTTTTGATCCATTTCTCTTTTTTTTGAACTACAATTCCACTGAAGAGTATTTGTTTTCACCCGACTCCCGCAACATGTACGAACACGGCTGGTTGCAGTTCGCGTTTGGGAAAGGGGGGGGGGAAGGGAAGGGGAGGGGCCCACTTAACTTCCGCCTACATTCTGCACTCATCGCTCCTCTACTCTTGCAAAATAGTGATATACTATTTTTTCCCAACCGCAATTGCACGCTACGAAACGCAGCTGCCCAGTTCGATTTGGGGAAAGTGGGGGGCGGATTGAGAGAAGAAGAGGGGGGTCTGTTATTTGGCTTTTCGCCGAGCCACCAAAACAAAGCTTAGAGCTGTCTCGTCACTGGCTGAAGGCTTCATCGCAAGCCAAGCCGTTAATCAGTGCCTTCTTGAGATATGGCTCCTACTTCACTTAGAATCGCAATGGACTTGGAACCAGTAAAAATGCAAACTTCTCCTCCCCACCCCTTGAGCCGAACTGTGTCGAAACACTTTAGAGGAAATTGTCCTTCCGTCCATCCGAAAATAAAATGAAATCGTCGTTCATGGAGTCGTTGTTCTACTTCAAGAAACATCGAGTGTGTGGTTCGCAGTTGAACTTGGCGGCCGTAAGTGTTGTCCACGAAAAAGCATGGTCCCCTCCTTATCGCAGCTCTCTTGGAAATGGCTACTGATACATCACAAGATGTTGTTGATTGATTCACGGCCCAGGACTACTATTAGGTTGTCCGGAAAGTTCTTAGCGTTTTGTGCACCTAATCTTTGTACATTCACTGCTGATTAAAAACTCATTCTGCCTTGCTTCTCAGTAGCACATCCTGTAGAGAATTTCTTGCGCTATCTGATGGTATAATTGCCGTTTCACCATTGCTTGATAAACCCTCTTTTTTCAAGATTTTTTCAAGCATGTGAAAAGAGCACTTCGGACGATTTTTTCTTCGGCTATAAATTGGGGCAATCCGCAATCGAAACAGCTCAACAAATTAACCAGGTGTGGGGGCCCAATAGTGCTAAAGAAAGCACTGTGCGGCAATGGCTCAATAAATTTCGCTCTGGAGATTTCAGCCTTGAAGGTGAGCCTCATAGCGGTCGACCTAAAGCAATATCTGACGAGGATTTTAGGGGGATTTTGAAGGTTGACCCATCCCAAACAGTTCGAGAGATAGCAGAAGAGCTAGGCCTTGGCAAATCCACTGTTGCAGATGGTCTGGAACGCATTGGGAAGGTGAAAAAACTCGACAATTGGGTGCCCCACAATCGGAGTGACCGGCAGGAATCGGCACGTCTCGAGGTTCCTTCTTCACTGCTTTTGCGCAAAAGAATTGACCCGTTTTTGAACGGATTTGTCACCTGTGATGAAAAATGGATCATGTATGATAACAGGAGACGTTCCGGACAGTGGTTGGATTTGGAGGAACCACCGAGGTAATTTTCAAAGCCGAACCCTCGCGAAAAAAAATTCTGGTCAGGTTTGGTGGTCATCGGCTGTTGTAATCCACTATAACTTTTTATCGCCAGGCCAAACCATCACAGCAGAACCCTACTGTGAACAAACCGACCAAATGTACCGAAAATATTGTCAGCTGCAGCCAACACTTATCAAAAGAAAGGGTCCGATTCTTTTGCATGACAACGCCCGCCCACACGTTTCACAAATCACTATCCATAAATTGAACGAATTGGGAGTTGAAGTTCTACCTCACCCACCATATTCTCTAGACCTTTCACCAACCGACTGTCACCTTTTCAGACATTTTCAGAACTTCCTTGCTGAAAAATACTTCATCAATTAAGACCAGGCAAAAAAGACCTTCGCAGATTTCGTGGATTCTCGACCACCCAGTTTTTTCTTTGATGGGATTTCTCGACTGCTGCCACATTGGCAAAAGTGTGCTGATTCGAATGGTGCTTATTTGGATTAAATCCGATGAGTGTTAAGAAAGTTATGATCGTTTAAAGTTAAACACCCAAAACGCTAAGAACTTTCCGGACAACCTAATATAACTCTACTCGCTGCAACTC